ATTCTAATTAATTTTTTTAAATAATTTTTCCCACAAGTTTTTTTTATTTCCATGTGTTGCTTTTACATTTCTCTGTCAAGTATTTTTACTTTACCTCGTGCATTTCTGCCTCGTTATGTAAATAAGGTGGGCGGGGCTTCTTGGGTCAACTCCTTTCCTATTGGTCAACAGACAGGAAGGAGTAGGGTTCGTGCAGATCTACTGCACTGCTTGCACTGCTTCAGTTTAGCTTAAAGTTTAAAGTTTAGTTATAAAAAAGACACAGGTAAGTGTTTTCCTCCTTGTATTTGTTTTTAACTTAACTTTTAAACTTTGGAAAAATAAATATGAAGGTCAATTAAATTATAAAACATGAGGTAAAGTTCTCATTTTTTAATTTAACTGGTGCATTTTAAATGTATTTATTTATTTATTGGTCCATTTGTATATTTCTGCTCTTGTTTCTAGTTATAACAGTTTTAGTTGWCCATATGTTTTGAGATTTTCTTTAAGGAATCATAAGAATTTCAATATTTTGTCCTTTTTTATGCCTGAAAGGTTCATTTATTTCTCWGACAGCTTTTAGACAGATGAAAAARAGTAAAAACTGTGGGTCTGTTCATCATTATTATCCTTTGTTCAGGGTTGTCATCACCTGTGTAAACGCCACACCATTAGATCTTTTTCCATGTTTGTAGTTCGCTGTTTTCGTGATTCTGAACCTTGAAAATGGAGGTAATCTAAAACCTGGTCACATGACGTGTGCGGCGAGCATATCAGGCAGATCCAGAGCAGCACAGGAGGTTCCACAGATGAATGAACGGATGATGGAGGATTGTGTCACACGTACGGGTGTGTGCACGGCTACATGCAAAACACACACATCCACACAGTTGGTAATCAGTCCCCATTCTTCAGCGTGCCAGCAGAGCTGCAGGAGTGATAAACAAATGAGTAATGAAGGGGATCCATCACACGTTACGTGTTATTGTTCCCTCGCACCTCCTTCACTCTCTGGACCCGTGGACACGCACAAGTGCCCACTGGCCACTCRGGACCATCACCTCTCTGGCTTTTTCCTTCGCACACACCCACGGTGCCCACTGTGCATGTGTGTTTGCACGGCAGCCTGCTGAGGGAAACTTTGTCTAAATGCCACCGCGGCCCGTCACTCAGTCACCCACACAGCAGCTTCGCAGCTCCGTGTAGGCGAAGACTCCTCGGTTTGTGTGAAGATCACTACATAGTGTTTGTGTAATGCCTACACAAAAACAAAAGCGCGGCTTCCCTGGCCGCTCCRGCACATCTGCCAAGTCGTCTATCTGTCCATCTGCRCGTCTGTCTGTCGGTCTGTCTGCTTTGGTCCTGCACCTTTTAATTCACTCCCAGCTGCCAAGTGCGTCACAGCACCTCCTAACACAGTGCGTTTTCATCTCGCCCTTCGAGCTGCTCAACATCCCGGAGAAAGCTGCCATTCACCGGATCAAACCAAATGAAGCCGCTGCAGGTGATGCTGGGTAAACCTGCCGGGCATTGCATCATTAACGGCACACCAGAACAGAAAGGTGCATAAGTGAGGGTGACAGGGCGTCAAACCRAAGGTGTTTCTGCTGTTGAAGAGACGCGTGTCTGAGCGATGAAAGCAGAGAAACT